AAATCATCAAAATCGGACCTCTAGAAGCCGAGATATTAAAAATTTTTAAGCGCGTCGCGGTTTTGAACTCGCCGATTCAGTTTCCAGCAGGCCGAAGCGGCCGCGCTCTCTGCTTCCCCCACCACCACCACCCGTACGATTTTCTTGAATTTCTTGCTTGAATAAATAACTTTAAACACGTTTTAAAGTAGGTTGCCAATGAAGAAAAGTATTGCAAACTTAGACCTGGTAAGTACTCGGAATACCAAAGGTATTTTTCGAAAAATTTGCCCGGATGTCCCAATACATTTAGTATAAATGACGGTTAACTTTGATCGGCTATAATTACGTAATTAATTGACCAATCGATCTGTTTTTTTTTAAAAGTAGCGTCTTTCCAATAACTTTTAAAACCTGCTTTAAAATTTGATTTGATTGAATATTCACAAAGTTATTCTAATTGTTTATAAGTACAAAATTCGACCAATGTTTAAACAAGCGCCAGAGCTCTCCTAATTCACGGATTCGAATTTTTCAAAAAACGTTTGAAAGCTTGAGAGCACCTCTATATGTGATTAAATTTTCAAGTATTTAAGGGCCTTGGTTTTTGCCGAAATTTTGAAAATTTGCAATTTTTTTTTTTAAATCTGGATTACAAGTTTATTATGCAAAATCTTTTGAACCGATTTTAATGAAATTTTATGTGATGATTCTACATAACATGAAGTTTTCTTGAGCCAAGTATGAAAGTCCTATACCCAATTTAATAACCCCAAAAAAAATCCCGAAGAAGTAATATTTTTTAATCCCATTTTTGGCTATTTTTTCGATTTTTACAATAATCATGATTCATTCGATTTGTAACTAGTCACATTTTGTAAAACATATAATTACAAAAAATTTTTCCTCTTCCATTTTCGTCTAAAATCAACTCTTGAAAAGATGCATAATTAAATAGGAAGAAAAATATAACATTTTTCGAATTTTTTTAACACATTGTGCCACCAAAAGTTAAGCCCACTTTTTTATGCGCATAGAAAAATGTTCATTTCTACAGATATTTGAAAGTCAAAAAGCCAAAAATCTCCGTGGATATACGATTCACCCAAATATGAACTTTTTGAAACATATACCGTCTGGACTAATATCTTTTTTCGTTCTGGAAGCTTTCATTTTCAGCGTTTCAGAACACACAAAGAAAATACAATGCACTATCTTCCACTATCAAAATCACCTGAAGAAAATTGTACCAAGTGAACCATTTTTTACGTTACATTTTGAAAACTTAAAACCGACAAAACTTTTTAAATTTAAATGGAGTACCCTGTACTTTTTTGGCACTATATAGATATAGAAAGTCAAATTCCTTTTTCACCGATATAGGCATTGCAGGGATTACAATTTCGATTTTCTCAGAATTTGATTTTCTATAATATAGCGCAAAAAAAAACAGTGTTCTATTTGAATTTAAAGATTTGTCGATTTTAAATTTTCTAAATTTAACGTAAAAAATTGGACACTTAGTATAATTTTCTTCAGGTAATTTTGATGGAAGAAAATTTTGATGGAAAGTAGTGCATCTTATGTTCTTTCCGTGTTCCTAATAGCAAGTGAAAGCTTCCAGAACAAAGAAAGATATAAGGAATTTTCGAAACGTTTGCATCTGTCCAAAATGTTATAAAATGTCGATTGTCTCTAAAAAGGTCAGATTAGGTATAGGACAGTTTTTTTTATAGAAAGCGTCCTGCGAAAACCCCATGGCCCAAATTTTCAAAATTCAAATCGAAGTAGGTGGTCTTTGAAATATTCTAATGAGCCGTCACCGTAAGACAGCCTGAATAGTGATGCTGGGTATAATGGATTTTAAATGCCCGGTTATAACGCATTATGTCCATTATTTAATCGAAAACAGATATATTATCAAAAAACAAGGCTTATAAGCAACTAATACCACTTTAGCAATAAATACATATAATTTTCAAATACAGATTTTGATTACAATATAGTGACTAATCTCTGTCGAGTACATCATTTATTAAATGAAACTGGAAATGTACTGGAAACAAATACATACTCTCAATGAATTTATTTTTACATAAAGTGGCGAAATTCCACTACTTGAAAGCCCCATTTTCTCAAAATTAATTTTAGCAGAGAATTTCTGTGAATTAACTAACAGTCTCAAATTTTGTTATATAGGTACCTAATCAGATATTGTTGTCAGTAAATATAAATAGCTTCTTTATAATGGTTTCTTTATATTTTCTCTATTCCAATGAAAATGGGATGTATTTAACCATGAAATTTTTCACTTAAACGAAGACTTTTCACAATATATATGTCAACAACTTTCATAGCAATTATGTATACCTACTATGAAAACAAAAATGCTACTGGCAATATATAAATATTGCTTAAATTTTTTGCTTTCATATACCTGCGTTACAATAAGTATGAGTCTTTCCATACGGAAAAATAAAGCATAACATGTAACTGAATCTGAATCAGAGGAACTGGTTTTTCATAGTACAGGGATAATCCTGTTGTTATTTGTGTAATTACTGCTCAGTTACTTAGTAAATGCGATCTGATTAGGATTAATAACGAGAAATAATCTTATTAGAGGGTCTTTGCCAACAAATTTAGATACGCTCATATTCTATCGCAATTGCGTGAAATAGTTTATTGAAATTTATTTTATTCCTGATATTAACGGGTTTTATTTATTAAAAATTGTATTCTGTGTCAATTTTCTTTAATGCGCTTTTGAGAATAAAATAGCATTTTAGCAGTCAAGTAACCTCTCCGTTTTCTCATCCATCTCAATGCTTGAAAATGAAAAACGACTTTTTCGACAGGAAAAATTTGTCTCTAGTAGACGTATATCAGTGCCAGGCCAATCCAATTTCCGGATTTTCCCTTTATATTATTCTTTATTCCGGAATAAAAATTGTTCCGAGGAAAATTCACCTTCCTAAAGACAAATATACAGTAAAATTTGTATACAAAATCTACTTATTGCATATCTAGTAATTATTATTTTGTAATTTTGTTAAAAGAAGACTTTGTTTTAAACAAATTGATGTTTTATAGTTGAAAGGATGTCAAAACTATTTCTACAATACATTCTGATTTGTACCGCATGAGATATCTCTTATAAATTACTTGAAAACTTTGACAATAAAATTCTATTAACCGAATCCATTAATGTGATTGCCACATCTCATCGTCTTCGTAAAGACAAATGACAGGCTTACTTAAATTTATTATATTTATATTTCACGATCGCAAGTACAATATCCTGATGATAATTATGTCTGTCAGTTGCAGGGAACCAGAGAAATAATTAAGAATATTTGAATGACACAATAATTTAACAAAACGAGAATATAAAATCTGGAAATGTACTGGGGGTAGGGATGTTACGTTAAATTTATGTATTCTAATTGGCTAAGTTATACGCTCTTGATAAAAATTCCACAGCAGTAACAATCCATTATTTGGCAGTAGGCGTAATATCAAGAATGATATGTTTGAATAAAACACGCATACAAAGAGCGCGTTGCAAGTTTTTTTTAATGTATATAATAGTTATCAAACTCATAGAAGACCCCGAAATTTAATTGGCAACACGAAGGAAATAAAGTTACTGTTCCAAACAAAATTACTAATCACGTGGCTTGTAATCATTTATGATCGCTCTGTAATTGTAATTAGTCAGTGAGTACTTACCTTAACGTTAATATTTTCCTTCGCACTAGTTTCAAAGAACTCGACGCCAAGCTGCTCAGCTAATTGCTTTCCTCTCTCGAAGCTAATGACTCTTTCATCTTCCATGTCGCATTTGTTTCCAACTAGAATGACTTGGGCGTTGTCCCACGAATACGTCTTAATTTGAGTTACCCTGAAATTGTAAAATGTAATTACCACTACTCTTCAGCATAGTTACATCTGAGGGATGTTATATAAAGTTGCCAAGGATTTTCTAAAGCTACGGATCCTGTTATGAATTTTTTCTCAATTATTTTTTTTGAATCTTAACGCAGAGTGTTATCTCATGTATGTATGTATGTCGGAGGGTGGTGGAATTGTTTTTCCACCGCGGCACTTAGGCCTTAGAGTGTTATCTTAATCCACGTCATAACTTCAGGACATTATTTCTTTTGAAAAATTTTAAAACATTATTTTTTCTGAAATATCTATTTAATGTCAATTAATATCCTACGAGTAACTAACATGTAGGTACTGCTTTCTGCTGCCGTTTTCTCTGATTTCATATTACATCGGTTTTATAGATATTCATATCTACAAAACTGCATCCTTGTAATGTCACTTAAATTAAGTCATAATATAAGAAAACTAATGACAATTAAATTTAAATATGTTTAAAAGAACTGTTCGACATACAGAGTATAAAAGAATTTCCTATTATTTTCCATCTCTTGCAAGAATTTATATTTAACAAAAAGTAAAGGTGATATCTCATTGCTGCAAATAAATTTTCAACCCTTATATGTAAAAGGTTAAAAAATTTAAAAAAATGGACAGTAAATGAAATTATGAGGATTAATACTCTTATTTCATGAAATATACATTATTAGAGGTGCTCAAACGGTATTTTTTGAATATTAATGTAGGCTCTGCATGGTCTTAAAAATGAATTATGTTCCTTTCAAATATCCCAAGTCAAGCTACAATACATTTTGATGTAAGCTTTTATCCGTTATTGCAAAACTTTCAAGTTTTCAACTGGTTATGTGTATACCAAAGATAAACTCAAATAAAGAGCTCGGCACATTTAGGTCTGGCGATCTAAGTGGTCATTGAACTGAATGAGAAGGACGATGCACCACAAATCACGCCTGACATTCGTTCAGTACCCCTTTTAAAATGTGTAGAAACGCAGGAGGGTTTAATTAATTACGAAATACAACAGGTCCTATTAGCCTATCTCCCAGAGCGCTAATCCAAACATTTAAAGTAAAGTGCCATTGATGTCTGGCTCTAACAAAAGCATGTGGATGAATGCTGTCAAATTGGGATTGTTAACGAGTTTTCTCAAAAACCATCTACAAAATGTAAATCTATGGTCGGTCCGGGGAATTGAGTGTCGGATGTGGTAGGGGTACAGTAGTAGCGGTTCCCTAAGGGTTCTCCAAATAAGAAGGTGGATAATGAACCGCAATTTGCGTAACATTAGTTCCATAGTATTTTCTCCTAGTTCCTTAAAAATTTGCTCATAAATATCCTACTGACAAGTCCAGTCAGTAGGATATTTACCAAATTTTCCACAGATCCGAAATCACATGACGAGTTTCAAGCCTATTACCATTGGGATGTCTATGCACAAAATGCATATCTGCCATTTTTGCATTGGTGTTCAGTATCAATATTTATGTATAAATAAATACAAAACAAGTCATAACAGTTCATAAAAAGAACTTGTCTTATGCAATTTACTTTCCTGTTTCATATGCTATTTAATATTTTTGTGAAAATTTTAATGGCTTCAAGCACTGCTAAATAAAAGATGTCGGTAGCTCTGAATCTCATTTACGAGTATTACGGCCACATTTTTTAATCATGCAAAGCTATCAGGTATTATAATTACCAAATTGATTGAACCATCGCTTTTGGAAGATTAGACAAAAACAAATTTATTACGCTAAAAACCAAACATCTCAGAAATGAAGTGTTTCCAGACATATATTTTTATACTTTCTCTAACACTCTATATGTATGTGACCATTTATTCATATTAAAGAGAGTTGAATGAAATATTTAGAAATTAAGATTTTTATCACATTTTTTAATACATTTTTTTTGTTTGCACAAATTGCAAAATAGCAATTATGATATACCTAGTAAAAATTCTATAAAATGCTATAAACAAATATCTTTAAACAATAGATTTTTATATCTAAAATGTGACTCACCAGTCTTGTACACTATTAAACGATTCCTCATTTGTAATATCATACATTAATATGAATCCCATGGCTCCTCTGTAATAGGCAGTAGTTATGGTCCTATATCGTTCTTGTCCTGCCGTGTCCTGAAAAACACGATTTCACATTTTTAATTAAAAACTAATAGTTGATCTTTTAGTTTTCACTAAAGTGGCAATTACAATATTACTTATATCTATAACGCTAACTTTTACAGATAAATTCAATACTGACTTGGTTAACCTTTTACAAACAAAAGTCAAGTGGAAATTTATAAAATGAAGGAAAATGTGTTTCTTGATTCCAATCAAGGGTAAGTGCGCAATAAAATTTGATTAGTGCGAATATTAAATGCTATAATTTGTCTCTTACTTAAAAGTAATATCTCGTAATTTAAAAATGACATCTGAGGTATCTTGTAAATGGTGGTATATTATACAATTAGGAAAGTTCCTGAAAATGTTATCATATATTCTCAAAAACTCCGCTTATGCTACACACTTCACCATGATATGGACTAAGCATGGTGATCACACCTGAAGCGGATATAATGTAATTAACAACACAAACTGTTTTGAAGCAAGATTATGCTTTTATAAATTAACTCAAACACATTTAAAAGAAATGTTTCAAAACTATGAACTTTTCAATCTTAATACATATTTGAAAATATTTAATAAAATATAAAAAAATTATAGTTTAAACATAAATCAACAAGTACTCAAAATATGTTATATCTCGAAAAATCAACTTCAAATTTAATTAAGATTCTGCATCGTGTTATATACTCGGGTATTATGGTAATTACATTTTTCAACTAGCCTAGATCTTGTAGCTTAGACCACGAAAATGTGTAGGTTTTTGAGGGAAGCAATTTTTTTTTAAATTCACTTCCATTTCATCATTTTTTCGTTCACAGATATTACTTAGCCAATATGACGTTACAATGGTTTCTTCAATCCATAACCTCTTCTATAACATCTTCGTCACTGGCATCATTGTAAATTATTTCATCGCTACTAATGAAATCATGTAATTGTGACCTTTTTCTGTTTTTTTTTTAATAATATTGATTTCCAATAAATATCTTTCATTCATTATAGCTATATCTTTGAACATTTCGTCTTCCCTTTAGGTAGATGCAGTTTGCTGAGTAATTCTTCTTTTAGTTTTTTCCCTTATTTTTACTTGACCTTATCTTTACCGTAAATATGATTAATGACGTAGCTTTGCGTCCATCCGCATTAGCCACTATCAACATTCAGGTATTTCCCTTCCAGAAGATGCTATGGTCCTACAACAGGAAACTCCAATTTTCCGACAATTTTGATTTTAGTGGGGTCTAAATAAAGGTCTAGCTTAAAATCCAAATTTGTTCAGATTATCGTACAGATCCAGAAGGTCCAATTGTTTGTTCAATATAAAATACTCATTGATTATAAAGGAATCTAAGTATATCTTTCGAGCGAGCTCGACAGATTGTGTTTTTTATGTATATTTTTTGTGGAATCCTAAAAATCAATTCTCCCCAGGTTGATTTCATTTGAACTGTGTTCTTAAGCCTGTCTTAAATATAGAATTACGAAGGATTTTAAGTATTTAGCTCCCAATCAGTTTGCTATTACTTTCATGCACTGGGAGTTTCCGCGTTAGGCATTACTCTAAACTCTAAGGCCCGGTACTTTGAGTCTCGGTTAAGTCTTGGTTAAATAATCATATGATTAGACTCTACATATACTTATTTATTTTATATATTATATATAGACTAAGGGATATGATATTTTGTTTGATCTCAACCAGACAATATACCTCTATCAATTTTTTCAAGAGGTTTTTTTAAGTCATGTTTAGGATATTTAGTCACTTTTTGCGATTTCTTTCCCGTCTACCACTTGTAGCTGTAAATACAGTAAAAAATAATAGTGATTCTATTAGTGTCAAGTGTGCTGTATATCTTCCAAACTTTATTTTTGTTGGAGTAACATAAACAAAAAAATACGAACTGCTTTTCTAAAAAATAATAGTATAGATTGTTCCCTGAGCTGCATTTCACAATATTTATAAATTTAAACTCGCCTAAATCCCAGGATTAAAACTGATTTAATAGGTAGCTTTCAATCACGAGTAACTGCTACTCATAAATATGTTGTTCAATTTTCTCAAATTTCTTATGCAGCTTATGAAATTTTTCTATATAGAAACTATCGAATATTGTTTTTTGATTATAATAGGTGGTGCTGGTCAAATTAGGTAGATATGAAGTGTGCTTACTTCAAATCTAGTGTTTTCCCAGACACACTCTTACCCTATCATACCGTATTTTCATCACATAGATATTCTATTAAAGGGGTTTCCGAAATAGTGATGTTCGCTGTTTTATTTTTTTGGTGTATATTTAAATTATTTAAAATCTCTGTAGATATATGTACAGAGAATTTAATTAATTTAGTTTTCCAATTTGTCTAATTTCTCTGTACATATATTTATATCCAACTGATTATTGACCATCGTTGAATACACCTCCAGCCAATAAAATAATTAAAATTAATCATAAATTATAATATAAATAAAAATAATAAAAATAATGCCGCAAATAAATATTTATAGACAATTTCTTTAAACTACCCTAATCTTATCAATAAAATATTAAGGTTCAAGGAATACTTTTTGTAGCTTGCAAGCTTGTTTACGAACGAAATTTTACAAACTAGAAAATATTTTTATTTCTGAACGCCTGTAATTGAAACTGGAATTACGGAACTGGTTTTGCTGGAACTGCTAATAAAAGCTGTGACGTGACAAATCCAATCAAATATGAAATCGGAGTGGCAATTCCGACGTTATTTTTAACTTTTAATTAAGCTAACGATTGCGCGGCTGTATAAGTCCAAATGTAATTTTTACATCTAATAACGAGGTTTCCACAGTCGTCGGTTCGCGTTAATTAATTTTTAATTTTGGTGTTGGAAAATCTACCAATTTATCGCTGCAACACGATAAAAGCAATAAAGTTTATTTCCTGCTATTTGTAGTTTTTCTATTCATTATATTGTATAAAATAACATTAATTTATTTTTTAGATAAAAATAATAATAATAATAATAATAATATCTCTACTCATCATTCTATCTACGAGAATTAGACCATAAGTCTGAGACTTGTGCGGGAGAGGAGGCGGCATATTATTATTAGGCAGGCCGCATTTGCGCCCAGGAACGACTTATGTAGGTAGGCCCTAACCACCATTCAGTGCAGGAGTGAGGGAAACCTGGAAAACCTCATTAATTAAGGGGGTGGTCAAATGCCAACCGGTGTCAATCTCTCACATTGGCCCGGGCAGAAATTTGCACACGATTTAATCATAGAGATATCATCAAGATAACATGAATTCCAGCTATTAAAATAGAATCTTTCGTTAAATTGAAAACCGGTATCAAGTATTAGATAATTAAAATTTTATAATCTCCATAGAGTCGTGATTGGAAATTGATTGCAACATATAACATTTACTATTTACTACTATAAATAGAAGGAATTTATAGTAATAAGAAGAAAATAAAGGTTTATTTATGGCAAATTGTTTCAAAAGCAGCACTCGAGGTGACACATCATATTTGTAGGATCGTCACAATTTGTATATTCAAAGACACAGTTAACCCTTGCAACCATTCACCTTCAATTGAACACCAGAAAGCCAATTTTAAAGCCTCAAAATTTGCTAAAATTTTATATTAATTCGGAGACAACTATATTTTTTGTGGTAAATATAGATTGGTCCGCTTTAGTTTGCTAAATAAAATAGTCATCATCTAATAAATGCGAAAACAACCCTAAACCACATAAAATGCTTCATAAAAGTGTTCTTAAGACAGGCCCTGCAATTTCCGTGGGTTTTGTATTTTTTTAATCAGTTTATATTTTTGACGTTACAAATATGATCCACAATGGGGATGCCCTCAATATGGACAATATGTGTATTATGAAGACTTTAATAACACGTATATTAACAACTCAGTACGTGGATGATGGTGTAGTATTAAAATGCAATAAACAGTAAAAACCCAAAATGACATAGAACCAGATATTGTTCCAGCATTTTTAATTGTGACTGCGTATATGTTTTTTAAACCTTTAGAAGTTATTTCGTATAATATATCCAATCCTTAAAGGCAAAGGTACTAATAATGTCATTCACTGTTATAGCCGTATAAATAAAAAATAATTTTAGTAATGTGTTTCAATATCTTATCTATGACTGTTATATCGATTTTCCTAAGACTGTTGATTTGCTTCAACGTGGAATTCTACTGCATGAACTTAACAAACATGGTGAAGTCCCTTTTATATTCTTATTATTCTGACAGGTACTAATATGTATGCTTCCTAAGAATAGAAAACTGTATTTAAGGATAAACACCTTTCAGGACTGTGTTGATTTCCAGGAAGGTATCAGTAGACTTAGCCTTTGATGTGAATCTAATGGTTACTATTATATAGGTATAAAAAATACAAAACATTATTTTTTCTCGGAAAAAGGTTGACAAATTTTGGTTTGCAATACAGTATAAATAACGTATTTCTTCATAAGCCGAATTTGCTAAAGGATTTAGTTGTTTAATTCGAGAGTAAAAATTTCAGAGTTCATATAAATAGCGGCTGCCATGACTGCCTTCAGAAATTTCAGATATGTGATGATTCTTATTATTCTTCTTAGCAAGAATCTATTCTATTGTTCATCAGATGTTGAAGGGTTGGAAAGGTGGAGTCTTTGAATACTCAAAATATGCAATAAGCCTCACAAAACTTAATAAATTCAGGGTTCTGGCTACTTTTTAGGTTTTAAGGGTGGCTTTTGGCAATGTAAAAAAAAAACTGGAGGGTGATAGCGCATTTAACAGAGTAAAATTGGTTTTTGGAGCCTCCACTTTGTTTTGTGTGTGTCTGTGTTATTTTCGTCAATAATTTCGTTTTTGCTATACACCGGGTTAATTATTTTTTTAGTAGACATATGATGATTTAGAGTCTTCCATATTACTAGCACAATATTCCTGGGCTTTAATTTTTGACATTTAAATAATAGTTACATAAATTATATGATACAATTCTAAAACTATTCGAATATACAAATGATCAATATATCTGTTGTCGACTGTAGAAAAATATATTAATCTTCAATTTATTGAGGAAAAAGTATTGTTATACAGGGTGTATTTAAATGGAGGGGCACAAAATGATACCAGAGATTTCTTCGGTGAAAATAAGTCGATTTAACTTAACATACCTATATCCTAAGTCGCATAATAAATAAGATACAGGGTGTCAAAGTGAAGAAGAAAAAATGGCTTTTCCTTAATAATTTCTATAATTTTAGTCAGAAATGTTTCAAATTTTCAACGAGAGGTTTTTTAATGATGGGAAAAATAATATATTAATGATTTTTGAGTGTCTAGTACGAGGTGCCCTCTGCAGGCAACGTTTTGCATTGGATATATAGTAACTTTTTTGCCAACCCCCGTATACCGCTTTTAGTAACAAAATATGAAATATTGGACTTTTTTTAACAAAAAAGATATACTTATTGAAAATGGTTAAAGCCAACCGTTCAGAAGATATTTTTAATTTCATAAATTAGTGTTACGGATTTATATCTCCACGAATACCAAAGTATAAACAACACTTTTGTTAATAAATTCAGAACGCATTGCCTCACAATAATTATTAGTTGTGGATCTATTTTAAAATTCAACCAAAAGGGCGCGCAGGAATCAACTGAGACAACATTATTTTTCCTGTTTTAAATTTACTTTACTATTTTTGCCTACTATTTGCATGTGTGAATACATTTATTGCATAATTTCTATTTAATTGTTTTTTTCGGTGTCTTTATTAAAAAACACATTTTCTTGTGCATGTGAAATTATTTAAACTCTGCATTAAAGAAATCTCATGTGAAATAACAGTTCAGGTGATAAAATATTGCAAAATACTTACCTATTTATTGTTAATTTAATAATAACTATTAGAAAAAAGAGCAAAACAACTAAAACCAAGAGTCACTTAACAGTCAATAGATAATTTAAGAGAAATAATTGGCTGACAATAAAAATAACAAGATTTTTTAAAGGATATTTTTGAAGTAATTTCCATTTTCCTGTAAGCATAGTCTAATTCTACGATTAAAATTACGACGAACTCTTGAAACAATATGTATGTTATTCTTTACTTCCTCAGCTGCTGCAAAAATTCTTTGACGAAGCGTCTCCACACTATCAATAGGGTTGGAATAAACAATATTTTTTTATTGACCTCATAAAAATAGTCCATGGGTATGAGATCCGGTGATCGCGCAGGCCATTTGACTGGTGCATCGTTCCCTCGAAGTATCCATCTCCCAGGAAAATTTAAATTTAACCATTGTCTAACAGCTAATGTACCATGCGCAGGAGCTCCGTCATGTGCGTCTCACATGTGTTCAAGGATAGCTAGTGGCACGTCTTCAAGCAATATTGGGAGTTGCTCGTTTAAAAATCTCAAATATTCCGCTTCGCCGAGACGCCGAGGAAGAATAAACGGACCAATAAGATAATCTTCTACGATTCCTACATTTAAACTAAAATTATGTTGAAATTTCCATGTACAAACTTGGTGAGGATTTTCGTCATGAGTGATTATTGTGATGGTTCACTAAACCATGTCTTTGAAATGACGCTTCATCACCAAACAAAATACTGGATAAAGTATTTCTGTTTCCCTTGAAATGTTCATATACCATTAACAAAAATCTATCCTGTTAGGTAAATCCGCAGCAGTCAATTCCTGCACAGGTTGTAGATGGTAGGGGTATAAAAGATTATCATTTGCAATTTTCCAAATCGTAGTATGTGAAACGTTATAGTGTGTCGCCAATTTTCTGGTACTAGTTTCAGAATTCTGATCTTGTAAATTACCAAGGACAACTTCTTCAAGTTCTACATTACGAATAAGACGTCTTCTGCCAGTATCTTCAGGACAAGGTTGAATGTGCCCGTTTCCTCGAAGTCTTCTATCTACCGCCGCAAAAGTTTTTCTAGCAGGAACACTACGATTGGGATATTTGGTTATCTGGAATGATAAAGTCATATAGCAGCAGCACAGTGCTTGTAACATTTAAAAAATACTTGCAACATATCGACATACTCGTCATTAGTATACATAATTTGTTATTTTACTCAATTCCAAAACTATTTAATCTCTAGGATGCAGGTAAATAGTGACTAAAATCAATTAACACTTTAAACTAATAATTTATTGAGTAACTCGAACCTTGGTATTCGTGGAGGTATAAATCCGTAACACTAATTTATGAAATTAAAAATATCTCCTCAACGGTTGGCTTTAGCCATTTTCAATAAGTATACCTTTTTTGTTCAAAAATGTCCAATATTTCATATTTCGTTACTAAAAGCTGTATACGGGGGTTGGTGGCAAAAAAGTTACTACGTATTTAATGCATAATGTTGTCTGTAGAGGGCGCCTCGTACTCGACACTCAAAAATCATTATTATATTATTTTCCCATCATTAAAAAATCTTTCTGTTGAAAATTTGAAATATTTATGACTAAAATTATAGAAATTATTAAGGAAAAACCATTTTTTATTTTTCACTTTGACACCCTGTATCTTTTTTTATTATGCGACTTGGGATATAGGTATGTTAGGTTAAATCGACTTATTTTCACCCAAGGAATCTCTGGAATCATTTGTGCCCCTCCATTTAAATACACCCTGTATACTGTCCCCTCCTCTATCTCTGCTTTATATTTCTGCTGACAGTTCAAAATTCCCATCTATTGTTAACCAGACCACACATTTTTTTAAGGATATTGTGGTAAATTCCATTATACTACAGGGTAATTCACAACGATTAGGAAACTGTTTGTTTAAAAATTCCTGAAATCCATACTGAAATGCGAAGGCGCACCATCATGCATAAATCACATTCGTAGGTAAAGGCAAATCTTCTAGTAGTGCAGGATTTTGTAAGAAATTCAAATAATTGGTGCCGTTTGAGCGGTTTGGTAAAATAACTGGATCAACCAAATATCGCCCAACAATACCTGCTAACACATTAATTCTAAAGTCTCTTTGCTAATGATAGGTTACTGTAGCATGTGGATTTTGATCCGAATATTCATTACTGTTGTGCTTATTTATAATCCCTCTCTGTGTAAAGCCAGCCTCATCCGTGAAAAGAATGACCCTGTAGAAAGCAATGTTCTGATTTAGGATGAAATTACAAAACATCATCCTTGGTTCGAGGTCTTGAACTTTGTGAAAATGATATGGATGCAGCAGATTACGTCATATAATTTGATGGACCGTGGTACGAGAAAAAAAATCAAATGAAAAATCAACTTATTTTGGTATCCTCTAAACGCACCTGTTCTATGTCCATTGAGTTGTGAATCACCCTGTATTTAAACGAGTGAGTGGCTAACTAAGTACGGTATTACATTATTACACGAATAGTGGAAAAGTATATGAGACCTGAAAAAACTGATAGTCAAATACTGCGTTGAGTTAGTTACTTTGCACAAACTAATTTGTTTTAATAGAAATTTCATCATGATTATCATTATTTCTACCATTTATGAAATTGACCTAATTATGCTTTCTGTTACGCCTACACTTTTAAATAAGAAACAACATTATTCACTGTCAATATGCTTGTTAGAGACTAGTAATACACCCACCAATACACCCACCAACAAAAAACTTCCCTTAGAATCCTGTCGTTCTGTTTTCCTAAGTTGAAAACTGATTGGTAGATATCCACCCCCTCTTTCTCGTTCGAATTCATTGGTAGACATCTAAAAGGAAAAAAACTCACCCATATTTGTAGTTTGACCCTTTTGTCGTGTCGAAAAACAGTTTTGACTTTGAAGTCTATTCCGACGGTGCTCACAAAGGCAGACGTGAAGCTATCATCGGCGTATCGGAATAAAAAGGACGTTTTCCCCACTGAGCTGTTGCCTATTATGAGTAGTTTGAACATGTAATCGAAGTTCTGGTCGGCGGCATCCTTCTGCCATTTTGGATCTGCGCCAGCCATCTGAAAGGATCGATGGAAATATTAATGAATTATTCGGTTTGCTCTTAAAGAACGGGCCTTTCAATGAATTTTATTAATAATAAAAAAAACTCTGAACGTATAAATTCATTTAGGACTCCTACTAGGAATTTGACATTTTAGAAGTAGAATGAATGTTTATTAAAAAAATGTATAAAATTGAAATAAACAATTTCATTTATACAGGGTGTTTCTGAACTAAGTGCGTTTCATGAAAAGGGTGCTAGAGGGCACGAAATTGAGCAACTTTTATTAACCAAATGATGATCTAAATGCTTCTGTTTTCGAGAAAATTAATTAAGAAAATTAACCATAAATGTAAATCGACCCTGTGCATCTTGTGCACGTGTGTTGTGTGTTGTAGTATTATTTAGGCGGCGTATAAAACTAACAGTACCGTGTGGCGTATACTACTAGAACAATTATTACACCCTTGTGAACTACAAAGGGTTCAACATTAAATAACAATGATATGCAGCCCCGTGTGGAATTTTGCCAGTAGTTTCGACATCAAATAGCACAAGATCCGGATTTTACAAGCAAGGTGCTTTTTACAGACGAATGTTGTTTTACCAGAGACGGCATACTAATTTCACAACATTCACTACTGGTGTGATGTAAATCCTCATATTGTACAAATATCTCGATTCCAGCAGCGGCTTTCAATGAATGTGGTGATTTTGGTGACAGAACTTTAACCGTCGTTTGGAAGCATATTTATTAGCACATGGAAACAACTTTTAACAATTTTTGTAGAGTATATCGTCTATTGCTAATCCGTTTATTCATTTAAATTTTTAAACGAGATTTAAATAAATTTCAGTATTTTCGAACACAACATTTAAACCGTCAAAACTGCCATCAGCGCTTCCGCACCAGGGACCGGACAGACGGCTTTAAATTTCTTTAAATCTTCATGTTAATTTTTTTTCAATTTAAAACGTAATGTTTTAGACTATCAATTGCTTAATAAGTGCCCTCTATCATCCTTTTCAAGAACCCAATTATTTCCGAAACACCCTGTATATCGTTTATAAATTAAAACATACAATTCAGTTCTTTAATTAATTTAATTACCACTGTCACATGTGTTATAGGCATTATGCTATTATATCTGTACAAACCTTCATTTAAAAACAACAAAGTTATAAATGTTTCAAATACTTTTGTAGACAATAGTTATTTTAAAAATGTTTTTTAAAATATTGCGAATATATATTCTGTGATAAGTACGGCATAAATATAATGGCGTTACACTGGTTCAGTGCAATGACTAACTAAAACTCATTTTCGCCAATAGCAGAGCGATTTTGGCGAAAAATAATTTTTTTTTTTTTTTGATGTACGAAATTTTGAATCCCCAAAGAATAAAATACATTTTCATCAAAATTAAAAAAATTATTACAATAACATTATTGATCACTGTATTTCACAGAAAACATATAATCTTGTAATAATATTTGAAACTTTTCTTGTTTCTAAATCTTACTTAATAAGTGAATATTTCATTTTGACATACAGTGGGATGTTTCATCCCCTTTGTTTTGAATCGATTTCTGTTTTTTGACTAGTATATAGTTTTTACTAAAAATGAAAAGACCATTATTTTTTAATTAAGTTATCAATATGTGGAGTACAAACAAAGTTTAGGTTATATTTGTATCACCAGTAACTAACTAGAAACTACCCTGTAACTAGCGCCCTATATTTATTTATTTATTATTTATTTATTTATTTATTTATTTTTGTATTTATTTATTTATTTATTTATTTAGAAATTACAATATCCAACGGGACAAAGTCCCAATTATAGGATAAGGTAAAACAGAAAACCTTAACTAAATTTTAAAAGAAAAAGACAAACTAACATTAAATATAAAAATATAAATACTACATAACATAGAGCAATCAAAATATAAAATCCAGACAAAGAACTTAAGGATAAACAATAACAGACAAATAAAACAAATAAGCTAACTAACATATACAAGATAAGGATTACATTTACTAGACAAACATTTTTTTTATGTCATTCATACAATGAAAAAATATATCAAGTTGATCCTCATACTTCTGGTAATTGGAAATCATTTGATATAGGGTAGATGCTATTAGTAAATTGGTACGAGGTGTAGTTAATTGTAAAACGGAGTGAAATCTAGTATTAAATCTAGGAATATGATATAAAATCCTTGAGACTAACGAGTCTGCATTTAACGTGTTATTTATGATTTTAAAAAGGAATATAATTGAAAAATTAATTCGCCTACGACAGAGACTATTAAAATTAAAACAAGAAAGCAATAAATTTTGAGGTGTACCACGAGGAGAATAAAATCCATGACTAATAAAATGAATAGTCTTTAAAAATCTCCGTTGTACTTTCTCTAATTGAATATTATAAATATTATCTTATCTATCGATAAGCTCAAATTTTTTCTCATACTGAAGAAACCAAATATTGTCGAAATTTACCTATTACAAAACTATGACACCTTCTGGAGTTGTGAAGATACATAGAACTTACATGGAGATGAAACCTGAGAAGTTACTCATTAAATTAAGTCACATTCTTAATGAAACATGAAAGAAGTGTCCCACCGTGTATATTTCGATTCAGCTCTACCTTATTTGTCACTACATATTTGTTCAGAACATATTTCAGAGTTTAACCTGACGACAAAGCTTACGATACATATCGATTTTACTTCACAAGTGTTCCTTCGACCAATAGGGTCATAAATTTATTAAAAGTTAATACGGGTTTTTATCTTCTATAATGATTTGCGGGTCGATAACTGTTCCCTACACTTCATAACACTTCAGAAAAGAAGTCTATTGTACCACAGACGCTATTATAAAATCCTCAACATAAAGCCCCTCGAATTTCTTATAAATAAGGACTTTATACTGCGTAAGTAGAATATGAAATATTGCTTCTAAAAGAAATTTATAGGGCAACTCAAGCTACTACTAATACTATTAATTTATTAATTCTGATTCAGCCATTTCGTCTTTTACCGGAATTTATGATAATGGATAAGTTTAGAAATAGAAACGCTTTTTTCGTTTCTATGGATGTATATGTAAAATTTGTATTAATATTTTTTAAGAATCACGTAAGCAAGTAATTCCCCAGAGTTCATACTTGGGCCCGCTTCTCTTTCTCCTATTCATAAATGACTTTGACAGTGGATATGCTAAATTATAAGAGGCTTTCGTAAGCTGACGATGCATACTTGCATCTCTTCACTCAGGCCAGAACAAAATTATAGTTTGGTTTGCCTACATTAACAACAAACTGAACCTAAATTTGAATATGTACAAAGTAATTACTTATTCGCGAAAATATAATTCTGTCCATGTGGTCGTCATATAAATACGCAAACATTCAATCGACACAGATCTACTAAGGATTAGAGTTTTTTACAGTACTTTAAGATTTTCATATAGATTATAGATTATATTTTCAAGACAGCTTCGAAGGTGTCGCGCCCATAAAACTGACCTCATGTTAAAAACCCCTGTATATAATATGTGAGATATAAATACCTATGTGTATTTTTGTTGTGTGGTGGTTCTTTTGCTGTTTCTATGTTTGGACAAATTCGGCACAAAGAAAATAACCGATTCCTTTTTAAAACTGAATCTGTAAGTAATGACAAGAGAAGATATGCAAAAAAATGAAACAGAACAACACAGGAAAAATATAAAAGCCATGGTGAAAAATACAAGAAAATATAATATAGAAAAATCTGAAATTTAAAGATAGAAAATTATTTAAAGGTGGAAACATGAAATGTACTTTTGAACAAGGAGAGCTAAATAATCTGATAAATCAAATAAAACAACAATTTTGATCTGGTAGAGGTTCACGAAACAAAACAGAAAGGAAGAGATATTTTAAAAATCAAAGGGTATATTTTTTTCAACAGTGGAAATGAGAGGAGAATGCTGAGGGTCGGTTTTTACTAGTAATAAATACGATATGATAATAGTCTTATTAATCTTTAGCAATCATTCAAAAATAAATTAAAATGATAAGTTGTTAATTGACTTTGCCTAAGAAAAAAATGTGATTATAAAATGGAATGGAAAAGAATGAGTCCTTTCAGACAGGAAGTCAGTTAACCATATCGACATGTGCCCAATTAAAAGGATGAAGAAAAAATGTTTACAAATAAGACGCAAATTTAGACTATTTTATAGTTGAAATTAATGTGAAACAGTTAATATCGCGAATAAAATATCAATGACAAAAAAATTTAACAGAATGGAATTTTGCAGGCTTTATAAAGAAGAAAAACAAAGAAATGCAGAATAATAATATATGAATCTAAAAAATAGAAAAGACTATGAAGATCTTGTACAAAATGTTAAAAGAGGGAGAGAATAGTAAAAACTTAGAGCATATATAGTGAGAAATTATTAGACAAAGAATGTGAACAAGAATTGAAGAAAATGAGAAAATTATGATTAGAAAGCAATGACGACAAACAAAATTACGATAAGAGAGAAAAAAAGTATAATGAAAGATTAATAACACAGAAGGAAACTATAAAAATCAGGAAATAAAATATCTGTATAGCAGAGTAAAACGAGAACAGAAAGACTATCAATCAAGCACATCAATATTTCAAAAATGATAAAGGAGAACTCATAGGAGATGGAGTTAATCTTAAAACTGTGAAAAGAGTATTTTAATAAATACTGAAATAACCCAAAAATGAAAGAGAAGAAGTAAAATACAGAATACTAGGTGGTTTAGGAGGGACGATAAACCTAAAAAAAGAATTCGATTAAAGATGAGATTATCCCAGAATTGATTAAGTATTGTGGTGAACAACTAATAAGATAAATACATAATATACTGGAAATTCCACTAAAATGATAAAAGCAACCAATTTTATAAAAAAAAAATATAGGAAGGACTTCTAAAATTGTAAAGCGATAACTCTTCTAATGTTACATACAATATTCTG